TCATTTGCATTTGAAAAGACTCCCCGCATTACTTCAATTGCAAACTAGTGCGAAAATACGAACATGGCCTTACTTCGTGACAATTTCGCTGCAGCAAACTTTTCTTCTTTATTAGGTAAAAATTTGGCATATTACTTCGTGCGTAAATTTTCATGCACTTTCTGCAAAACCTGTACGGAAAGCAGTGTTTCTTCAAAGTTGAATGTGAAGAATTTAAGATCAAAGCAACAGCGCTAAAACTCCTGCGTTTTTGTTTTGATTTTCCAGACTAGGCTGAGTTTCAAGGGTTTATTGAACTACGTGCCGTTTTTATTAACCTGAGCAGAAAGTCTTACTCCACGGCGGGCTGAAATCTACCCAACGGTTTACCTCATCACAGAAGGACTTTCATTTCTGTAAAAGTCCGCATTGTTACCAGACTGAAGTTTCTTCACTGGACGTTACACAGGTTAGATTTTCAGTAGATTTTTTGTTACCTTTTGTTACTAAGCAAGCTAACTAACTGAATCTCCAAGTTGTACGCACCTTTCGTATTTAAAAGTAAGGAGTTGCCGTTTCCGAATTACGCCGCAGTCTGAAGTTTTTCTTTGTGCTTTCTTCGGAGTACTGAAGTATTTTCACATTCGGTTTTCGATGAAGATTTTGAATCGCCTTAGTTGTCGAACCACGGTATATCTGAAAGATAAGCTTTATTTTCTTTTTGACTGACATTGCTTAATATGTCTATCCACCGTTGTCTTCCACGCCTCGAGATGAATAGTAATTTTTGCTGTGTTTCGTACTAGATTTTCTTCGTAAATCTTTACCTTAAACATTATTGTAAATACTTTAAGGCATGTGTCGTCTTTGTTCGCCATGCTGATTGTCCGTGCTCAAATTTGCATCAAGCCGCTGTATCCGTCGATCATTTTCAATTTAACCACTTCGCACCGAATTTCACTTTCACTTTCCTTAATTCGTTTAAAATAGATTGCGAGCTCTTAGCGAATGAGAGTCCAGATCTCTATCAGGATTGAGTAGTTCCTGTGAGTGCTTGTTGTCAGTGGTTTATTGAGCAGTATGTTAGTAAGGTAGCACGTATCGAGTTGGCGAGTTTGTCGTTGTTTGATTGAAATATTTGAAATGAGCCCCAAACCCATGCCTTGACGTGGATAGATTTTACCGGATTTCATGGCCTGGACGTTTGTGAGAATTTGAAACGCAAATGTCAGTATTTTTGATGGAAAAAGGTTAACAGAAGAACAGTGGCTAACCAAATTACTACTAGCCAATAAAAGGTAGCAACAGAAGCGTAGCGACCATATAATTATATTTACGCACGTGCGCACATGCGCACGTGCGTACCTCCACAAATCTGAAATTTATCTTTTTTTGTATAGTTGTATATGCGCATGTGTATATGCGCATGTGCGCACGTGCGTACCTCCACAAATCTGAAAAAAAAAATTCATTTTTATATTCGGCGAAAAGCGTCTATTAAGGAGATCGGTTGGTTTGACAACGTCTGTACTACGAAAACATGGCGAATATTCAAAAGGCTATTCAGTTGAATACTAAAGTTTGACAATCAAGCGAGCAAGCAATGAATCAATCTTTAATTGAAGAGCGTAGCACACAATAGTTGTATTAAAAACTAACGAGCCTGTGATACCGTTAATTAAGAAAAATTAAAAATTAAAAATCCAACTATACAAAAAAAGATAAATTGTCCATTAAAATATGTTTTCAAAGTCACAAGAGGGAGAACAAAAAATTAAAAGGCAGGGATAATAAAGGTAGGAAATAAGGGACGAGAGGGAATACCTTTTGATGAAATGATCTCAACTTAACTGAAACCTTTTATAGGCCGGCCTCTCTCGGAGCTTCACTTTGTTTACTTCACTTTTTTTTTTGTTGTTGTTCTTTGAATTTATTTAGGCGCACAATGTAGTGCCAGGTCATTTGACGAATGATCCTATTTATTTTTTTTTTCCCTTCCCGATTAGGTAAACCTCTATTTTGATCGTAAGTTGACCAATCATGAGCGGCATATTTTGTTGAGTATATTATGTTGTATTTTGTTGTCACAACAATCCAACACCGGTTCAAATGTTTCACTATTAGATTATTTGAACCAAAAGAATTCATAGTCTGAGACGTGTGATGATGGCCAGTATTTCTTGGCTGGGATGCAGTACCAAGTACTTCCTGTTATTACTTGCTGTTACTGGTTTATCCATCCTCCCATCTGCCTGGTGTCAGTATTGTAACAGCAACAATCCCGGTAAGTTATAATATCAGCACTATATTGAAATGGACTAAATAACAATATACATATCTAGGAGATGGGTTGGCCAGCGGTTGCAAAATAGGAAATATTAGAACACAGTTTATTTGAACTGTGGTGATTAAGACGTCAACGCCTCCAGGGCACCTTGTTGACGAAGGAGGATTAAACAAAGGCAAGGATGGTGATTGTTTGAAAAGACAAAACAGAATTACAATAAGAACTGAGGGGTCGAGAAAGCAATAGCTATGCTCCGTAAAACTTGGCCGTTAAGAACTTACATTTGTGCATGTTTTAAGCATCATAACACAAAGCTTTGATCTCTAGCAAATTGACTTGTGTAACGAATACGTGCATCTATTGAAACACGTCTTTTGGTCTCTTTTTTTCCCTTTGAAATCAGGCGAACCTAGGATTGAAATAACTCCGCCATCCAGCAAGCTACATGTAACTGTTAATGAAACTGTTAACTTGACTTGCACTGCTTGGCAAGCTGATAGTCACAAGAGTGAAAAAACAAAACCAAAACAAATTGAATGGTTTGACCCACAAGATAAACGATTCGGGAATAAATGTTACGCTGACTCGCCACGAGCTACACACATGAGCTGCACAGTTACAGTTAGTGCCCTGACGAACGAAACATTTGGTAATTACACTTGCAGAGCGAGGAATGGTATAGATGTCTGCAGCACCAAAAAAATTCTTGTGCAAGGTAAGTAAAAAGAACTAATGAAATGATTGCAATTTCCTCCTTTCAAACAGAAAGTTAATTAATTTCATTCTAATTTACCTTAGTATAAATCTGCTAGCGTTTTATCACGAATGCCGCTCTCTGGCATGATTGGCTACGCTACTCACTATCTATTATATGATGGATAGTGAGTAGCGTAGCAGTTTGCACTTGTTAACATAATGACGGCCGCTTTTTGGCGTTTTCGAAGTGTCTTTGAAAAGGATTTATATAAAGTTTTAAACGACTACTAGATTTATACTAAAACAATTAGATTATTGGCTCTCGATTTCTATGCGTGATTTTTGACTCGGGCTCATAATATAATTGTTTATTAGAAATAAAAATAAAACTTAAAACAAAATATTAACCTAACTTGGACTATTCCAATAGCAGGACAGGTAAAATTGTCTATGATTAGTTTTACACTTATATTTTTAATCCATTTCTAATTCTTCTTCTTCTACTACTTATGATAACAAATTCCAAATATTAGTAACATTCGTCAAATGACCCGGCACTGCGTTTTAGGCCTAAATAATTTCAAAGGACAAAAAAGTAGTATTTGTACATTTACATGTGATTGTCGACAAGGAACATTCCGTGGATATAAGGGTAGCAAGGGACAAATCATGGTGAGTGTGTAAGAACCTTTTTGCGATCTAGCTTGCTTTCAGCTTTACCACATAAGTTCCGATAATATTAGTTGAAAATCTTCCGTTGTTGTTGTTAAATCATAATGTAATAACTTAAACCACCACTCCCTCCCCCTTAAGTATTTAGCGGAGGTACACGACCGCCATTTTGATCCCAAAAGTGTTTTATGGGAAGTGAACGTGTCCGGCTGTGCATGCACATTGTATTGTTCTTATCGATGTGTTTCTTTAACCCATAATGCTAACAATGTGCCAAATAAATCATATTTTAGGTCTGACTTACCAACGTGCACGTGACGCAAGACGTTTTGGTTCGGTAGGGAAGGCAGAATCTATCAATACTCCAGTTAATATGACCAACCACGGTTTAGAAAGTAAGCTGTTTATCTCATATTCATATGACAAAAACCATTTTTTTTTTCTTGTATTCACTTTGTAAATAGCTGTTGTAAAGAGTTTCAGCATGAGATCCCCAAATCCAACAAAGAAAGGTCAGGCAATCATTTTAATTGGTATTTTAAACTATTTTACGTTTAGGAATTCGGAGGTTTTAAAAAGGACTCCCGATAAAATGAACTGTCCCTTACGTGCAATACGTGACTTATTATCCACATCAAGCGGATTTGTAGCTACACTGCTTACGTCCATAAGCAATTTTATTTTACACGTTCTAGGGAAGTAACGAATTGTTATCATTAACGAGTTTAAAGTATGTCACAACTCAGCCTCTTCGGGGGCTGCAATGATTTTATTCAATAAAGCTATCTACCTATCTATCTTTATCTATCCACTCTGTAGACAAAAGTCCAGAGATCGTCAACGTTCCAGTCAACCAAACTGCTGTTCTCGGGTCCAATGTGACTTTTAATTGCACTGCCACTGGTTATCCCAAACCGACCATCACGTGGGTAAAAGAAAATGATTCAAGTTCTGTTCAATACAACTCAACGCCAGAGATCTTAACAGGCGATGGCAATAGCATTTTCAGCCAGTTGGTTATAACAGAAGTCAAGAGCAATGATTATGGTATATATCATTGTGTTGCAAAGAACAGTGCTGGAGTAAAGACTTCAAGTGCGACATTAGGATATAGAGGTATTTTCTGTTGTGTTTTTGATTTCTAATATATGGGGGGATGGGGTGGGGGCACTTTCTGCTGAACTTTTGATTAACGTACTTTGACACATGACATCCTATCGTACTGTTATAAGTAGTGGCAGCCAAACTGATAAAACAGGTGGTTTAGAATAATAGCCTTATATTCTTCTATTATTTATTTATTTATTTATTGTAAATTTCTATATCTTCTGTTATTTATTATTTCTACTTCTTTCTCTATTTCACTGAAACTGTACCGAATCTGATAAGCTGCAAGCACAGTCAACCATTATTCAGAGTAAAATTAAAATTTAGTGCAGGATGCGAAATTCAGTGCACTTTTAAGGTTGCTGTAGCAGGGAAACTTTTCCACTGGCGCTCTTGTGAAAATGCCCGCGAACAAAGTAAACAAAGTTTAGAAGTATTTCATTGGTAAATGTCCCAAATATCAAATGTTTCTCGGGGAACCAGACTAAACCAAAACTGGA